GAGCCTTCTTCTGTGTGCTCAAACACCTAAGACTCATTCTTTGTCTCAATTTGCTGATAAGTGTAAAATAGCTCCAAAAGAATCATTCCAGCAGAAATGAACAGCTTTAGAGTCAGGTAGGCTGCGAGTTTTCCCCCCAGAAGTGATATTTTGTTCCTCTAAGATCTGTCTAAGAATGATGCTTGTGCTGAGTTATTTGGATGCTGGTACTTTTCTGAGTGTAGGGTTTTCTCTTTTTTTTTTCCCCCTTTTTTCTTTTTTTTTTTGCCCTAGGAAATCTTGTGGAAAGGATGAGGTCACAATTCCACAGTTCATCATCTGAATGGCTGTCCACAGTAGTCCCTGTCTGCCCTTCGCAGGGTGACGTAATCAGTGCTCAGTAATAACGTTTCTGAAAGGTGGATAACAGCATTTTAGTTCAGCTCTAATAATTCTGTTAAACCAGAGCTGGTGTTGTAATTGCTGTTTGCAAGTGGGTTTGCTCCATATGTGTGTTATGTGGGATGCAGTTGTAATGAAATGTTCCCTCTTTGAGCTGTATGCCCTAAAGAATATGTCTTTATTGTGTAGCTAGCAAAGCACTCATCCACTCTCTGCCCCTGCTGTATCTTTTCATGAAATAAGAGAGAGACAGAGAGAAAAAAAAAGTCATATTCTCCTTTTTAGAATTTTAGAAAATTTAAGTAGCATAAGTGCTAATCTTCCATTGCTTTGATAGCACACAGACTTTCCAAACTCCTGCCTGTTTCTTTTAATGAAAAATATTGTGAGCTTGTGTGCACCTAGGAGTGCGCAAGCATTACAGCACATGAATATAAGTATAACCAAGAACAAAGAGTGAGAAAGCAGGAGGGAGTCTATTCTAGAGGGTAAGACACAGTGCTCTGAAACAACATTTTAAATTTTATACTAACACCAGTCTTAAAGAAACAAAATCTCTAGAGAAATTGTGTATGAAAAGAGAGCATGTTCTGTGGCATGAAATCAGGTAGGTGAGTAGTTGCTTTCCTTTGGATGTGCTCGAAGGCTCAGTTGTGATAAAACCTGGCAGTTGTGCATCACTTTATTCACAGATCCCTGCTTTGCAGGCAGAGTAGTTCCATTTGCAGAGACGCAAGGGCGAATAGAAAGGACTTGACCACCCCACTAGCTTGCTGGGATGCTGGTGGTGACCCTGGTTATGAACTTATGGGTATCATCAGTCCCCAGAGAGGGTTAACACATGGTAGCTGCATGGTACACCTGGGTGTGAAAAGGTGACAGACAGCAGCTAATTTCAGCCAGAGCAGGAGATGTAAACAGGGAATTACTGGGAGCCTGAGGATGTGAATGTGCCAGGCCGAGGTGCCTCGTCTTGGTTATGATGCCAATCTGTTGCTACTCTTGTTTTATCTGACTTCTCTTAGGCCTCTGGTGATGCCTCTAGGTCCTGGGTTTCAGCTTCCCAGCCACCCCTGAAACATCCATGCGCGATTCCAAGGAAATGCCATATGAAAAGGCAGTTCTTCTCTGATGTAGTTTCACGTGGGGAGGGAGGGTGAACGATGTCAGTGATTCCTGTGGACAGCAGGTATACGGTAGCAGTCAGACTCTCCTCGTGCTGTTCACATTGTGGAGGGATGTGATGAGGGATGTCCCCATTTCTAGCTACCTGGGGCTCCACAACAACTTCATGCTCCCACTTTGTGCCTCACAGTGTAGCCCTGTTGCAGTGGATGGACCACCCTGGTTCTGCTGTAGTCTGCAGGACCAGGAAAGCCTCAGGGTAAACTTGAAGGCTTCCAGGCAGAGTTCCTTTCTCTCTGCAATGGCAAGGTTTATTTGGCTGCTTGTCAACTCGAAATAAAAAGCTCAAGTGTCTCAGAAAGAATCCTACTTTCAATGGAAAATTAGTGCATTGACATTATTGTTTTTAATGAATTAGAACATTTTTAGCTCTCACCAGAAGGCAGTGAAGAACATCTAGATTCAGCCTGTTAAAATTAAGCATCTAGATTAAATTCCATGAGCTTCTTTATAGCCCATGGGGCAGGCATCTACTAAGCAATTAATCTCTGTTGAACTCATGGGCAAATCCTCTTTTGTTGGAGCCAGTCCCTCTCCACCAACTGCGGAGGAGCAGCTAGATCAGAGCATACAACTAAAGGTAGCCAGGAGGAAACCAACCCTAACTAAGAATGAAACAGGCATGTTGGCTGGTTTTGCATAGCCCTGGAACGGGGAGGGCGTTCAGTTTCAGTGTGAAAATCTCAGTCAAGAAGAGATTATAAAAAAGTCTGTTTGAATAACAACAGCACCTGTGCTTAGCCCACCAGCTCCCCTCCAGGCACTTGTAAAAGTGGAAGCTGTTTTACAGAATTTTTGCACTGGGAAGCCAAGAAAAATGATCACACGTGAGCAGGAATAAAGAACTGTGTGAAACAGACGTAGCATCCCAGAATGTATCTGTAAAAAAAAAAAAAAAGGGAAAAAAAATCCTGCTACTTGAACTGCAGAAATGCAAGTTTCTCATGGGAAAACGTGATTCCTGTTCAAATGCTAATGGGTTGTTATCACAGAATCTCTTAAATTTAACTATTAAGTACTATGAGAAGGGCAGAGCAAGGTTCAGAGAGCAAATGACTGATGAACAATCCTCAATCTGCCAGTAAATTTTTGCTTTTTATATTCTTCCCTTTGCTGATCTCTGACTTAAACTGATCCTACCAAGGGATATATGAAAGACAACCCTGACTTCAGCTAGAAGTAATAGCACGTATTTGTGTGTCTCTTATCTTTGTTTAAGAGACAAAATTATGGCACTGGTAATGTGTCAGCTGGCTCTGAAACCATAGTAATTGATGGTATGTAAGCAAAGGTTGTTTTACTGGAAAGAAAAACGTGTAGCACATTTTAGAAAAGTGATACAGAAAAAGGGGGTGAATTGGGTATTGCATGCACAACTATTCCTGCAGCTTTCTCAGGATAGAAGGAAACCTACCATGAGGCAAGAACAACTTGCAGGGAGTGAGAGGCAAAGGTCTGCCACCCTTTCCTAAAACCTCAGCAGCCTGGGATTGCACGTACTACCTAGCCAGACGAGAGCAGAAGACCATGCTCTCTCCTATGGAAGCAGAAAATCCTTCTTCCTCTGTTCTGGAATCGTTTTTCTCAGCCATTTTATGAGTGGATGAATTCACATTTGAAGGTGTTTGCTACCACCTTGCATTACTATAAATGTTACAAGAAAACTATCTTGCTGTTAGAACCGCTAAACTTGTATGAGTAATTTATGTGTGTTTCGAGAAGTTTGCAGGAAGTCCCTCATTGACCTTGACTAGCAAAAATGTGTGAGGGAAGGGAATAGGCTGCTTTTAATGTTACATAGGTATGAACATTTTTCAGAAGCTTTGTCATCTCCTCTCGGCCATATATGAGGCCCCTCCAAGGATTTTCAAGCACGCTTGCAAAATGGCAAATTCTGGGGTAGGCCTTCCTGGTCGGTCACCTGCTGCCATCCTACCCCAGTGGGTAGTGGGATTTGGAGCCTCTCCAGTTCTACCCCTAGGCAGAAGGGTGGCTGTTTTGGGCCAGCATCCACTCTGGGGGGGTGGTCATCTTAAGATGATGGTGATGAGGGTGCCCACTCATATGCACAGGGGACTCTCATGACAGGAGTAATGCCCTGCAAAATCACTGCCAACTCCCAGGGCACTGGAATGGAAATCACTGGGGAAAAAAACAAGAGAAAGAGGAAAGCTTTCAGACTGATGAGGTTTTGTAGTCTCTGAACCTAATATTTTTCACATAGTTCCCAGACACCCTAAAAGTGTGTGAGAACAAGGTGTATTTGGCCTCGGTGTTGGAAAACATAGTGAAGGTGAAGGTGAAAACATAGTGTCTGTGGTGAAAACATAGTGTCTGTGGGGGGTGATGTGAGCCAGCCAGAACGTGGGCCCAGGCTGCGTTTGCACCTGGGCTCACGATGTCCCTCCCAGTAACTTCCTAGCTCAGCTCTGCTGCTCGGGTGCCCTGTCCTGCCACGCTGGATTTCCTGCCACCACGTTCAGGAGAACAGGGAGGCACCACTGACTTGTGCAGAAAGGCACTGAGGAGATGGAGACAAAATGCAAGAAGTTGCATTCCCAGCCCCCGAGGCTGCAGCACTTCCCTCCCCCAGCACTTATCTTATCTTTGCCTCTTTCTGAAATAAAAGGAGTAGAAAAATTAACAACATGAAAAAGGGAGGAGATGATAAAGAGTATCAGAAAAATTATCTATGTCCTCATTTCAGAGCTTTGCATGGTAGCAGGGAGGCACAAGGCCTCTTTCTTTTTTAAAAAGCTGAGTGTCTCCTGAGCAGTTGCTGTTACTGTGTTTTTGTGAACAGAAGAAGCTCCTAAGATGTGTTCTGCAGAACATTGTCACACTTAAGGAATTATCTGGGGATACCATCTAAGGACCAGAGCAAATCAAATTTAAAAGAGGAGGTCTGTTCATGGGGCTTGGGTCCAGTCTGGACAAGAGAGAGATTTGCACCTTTGCACCTTTGCTTTTGTGCTGAGATGAAAATTCCTGCAACAAGGCTTTAGTTGCACATATGCTGTTGGCAGCACAGCTGGAATTAGAAAGAATCGAAGCTTCATCTCTTTTGATTTGCAGCTTAGTTCTTTCATCTTGAAGGTGATGCCAGTTCCTTGAGAGGACTGCTCTTTGTAAAATGAAGCAGAGATGCTCAAATTCCCCCAAGTTTGGCAGATTTGGTTTGATGCATTATTGGTTCCCCTATCAGAGTCTTTTCATGCCTTGGCAGAATCAAACACTGCAATTATTCTCCGTCTTAAGTCTCTGCCTCTGTAGCAATTAGGCTTTGCTGTTATGCTATATTATTCCCTGTGCTTGCCTTTAATAATACAGCCATGTGCTGAGGCCTTGGTACTCGAAATACAGAGAGCTCAGAGAGACTGCCCAGGATATGGGTACACTGAATAAAAGCTTCTTTGTTTTCCTTTTCTTTGCAGGTCACTATGGAAAGGATATTTATCGAAGTGGAGGGCCAGATCTCCATAATTTCATCTCCTCCGGGTTTGTCACATTAGGAAGAGGACACACGAAGGGTACAGTGGAAACAATTTTTTGCTAAATAGAAAAGATAGTTTTAAATAAAAGGCTATAACTGAGAAGCTGGGTTCTAAGTCCTATGAGATAACAATATTGGACTGCAGTCAGTAGATTTAGTCTCGCAAATAACGCTGCAGGTAAAATCCTACTGGCAGAACCTTTTAAATCCTAGCGAGGGAGACAGTGGTGGGGTGGAGAGCAGGAAAGCCAGACTCCAAACTGCACTTTGACTTTGTGGTTCAACAATTTACACTGCTTTGTGTTTTCCTGGGTGCATGGATGCAAACTACCATTGTGCTACTGTACTTAAAAAGGGAAGGAGAAGGAGTGTAAAGCTGTCCAAGGGTAGGCAGTTACAAGTCAAGAGTGGGTTTTTGGATATATTTTGTTTGATTTCTGGGCTTTTGGGGGGTATTATGAATATTTTATAAAATCATTTCTTTTTAGGTCCAAAAAGCATATATTTTATGTGTTCATATAATCTGTGATATAATGTACAAACATGAAAACACAAAAATATACATATACTGCTCTGTGTATGTTCTGTGTATATGTACTGTATATATAATATATGTCGAGAGACAGATGTAGCTATATTAGATAAGTAACCATATATTCCAGGAGTTGTGGTGACACCAAAGCTATGAGATCTACCTCAAAGTAGCTGGTCACCAGAACCCCGATGAATGTTCATTTTATGACATTGTTGCATATTTGGTGAGTTTTTATAGTGTACAGTGAGAATATGTTTGGAACAGCTTTCTGTTGACCTCCACGCTCTGCCCAAGTCACACTGGTGCACTGGCAGTGGGTTGCATCACTGGGAGTGCAAGCATGTGCTGTGCCAGTTCTT